GTGCTTTGGACCTAATCTTTGCTAATACGTAGGGTATTTCAGTTAGTCGCTGTTCGCGTTTCGTCTTACCGAAAAATCCTCATCATCCCTCACCTAATCTACCAACCGAATTCAGTAAAGTCGTCAAGGCTAATCTGTCTAGCCCATCTAATCCCAACATGTGCTCCTGCCAAGACCAGCCAATGTGTGCTCCTAGCAAGACGGAATTCATCTTATTTAGAAGATTGGTAAGGGATATTAACCTATATCAGTCCAAAGTCAACATAGAGCCTTTGATATTCTAGGTTTATAAATGCCTTAATGTTGCAATCTTTTTATCTAAGCTAGTATCCCACCCTAGCATGCAAACCTAAACTAGCAAAAGTAAATAGCTAAGGGTAGATTGTTTAAAAAATTTAAAAAAAAAATTCTTCGCCCGATCATGCTACATACCCTTCGACAGAAGAAGATTCTCTCAATTCAAGCAAGAATGTTATTCTCGATGCTTGTCTAAGGTAATACTAGTCTCATTACTAATATGATTTTACGAATTCGTAAATTTTGAAAGAAAAGTTCATGGTTTTGAAAGGCCCGATGGATCGATGATTTCGAACCTTCTTGGGAATACCTTTTAATTCGATTTCAACTTTGCAACTTTAATATCTTCTGTGGGTGTTCATATCAATTAAATGAGAGTATATCCGTTTCCAGTTATCTTTGACAAGGAAATTTTGTAAGGCTTAAAATCGTTAAATTATAACTGTATGCCCAGACCAAACGGGCTTTCGTTGTGCATTCTCACAAACGGTGCAACTGAACTTCTTCGCATTACTGCATTCGCTTTCAACTTTTCTCTTGAGACAATAAATTTTCGGCGTAGTTTTTTCCTACCGCTCCATAGAACCGGCATCTTCAGGAAAACTGTAAACTTAGTATTCCCAAACTATTGAGCGTACTATAACGTCGTCCATGAGCATTGCTCTCAAGTCAGTCATTGCTATGAACCAGCATACATTCTTAAGGGATAAATCGACTACGACTATCCTCCTAGCATTCGCTTGCCATGCACCAAAGGCTTTCTCGAAAGGGCTTTTTTGCGAAAAACAAGTTTCCAACCATTTCAAAAATTAAAAGTCATATCCGTCTATAAGCGTCTTATGCACATGGCATACCTCAGACATACTATATCTTTTTTTTAGACAATGACAGCAGCGTTATAGTAGCGTTAGAATTCGGGGAGCATAACTTTAAAGCAAAAATGTCGTTATTTTACTAAGATATGTTCACTTAAAGCGAAATATGCAAATAAAACGGGACCTTTGGATAATCACATAAGATAATGTACCAAAAGCTTCGTAGAACGAAACGATCCTTTATTTTTTATTTATGCCCATCATCACATGTGATATAAAGATGCATTAGGTTTATGCAGATTTGAAATATACGCATCTTTTATTATTTCAATTGACTTAGAATCACTTCCTTTCACCAGGTCCATGCTCGGTCGGTCCGTCTGCTCTCTTATATGCTTGTGTTCAATCTACAAATCACGGATTTTCAGATATTTTGATGAAATTTGATACACCAACGTATTTTGGCCCGAAAAAGAACGTTATTCAAAATGACTGGACTGTTCGACTTCTTCCCATATAACGCATTATTTTGAAAAGTCGCTTAATGGACAGACAACCACAGATACTCGATTTGAGCTGTTTGCTATAAAGAAATGACCGAAATATAAAAAAGAGAAAACACCACAAACTAATTTTTTTATATGACCTCAGAATTTTTCATGACGGGTTGCAAGAACTCAACAGAGATTCCTCTGTTGCTAGCCTATAGAACTTAGTCACTAAGTTTGACTTTCTGAATTCAATTTTTGTTTTTTTTTTTTTTCGAAAAGGATTTCGAATTTCACATTTATACAGCTGTGTGTAAATAAAATTATGGTGAGCATTAAACAAGCGAGGAAATCATATTCGGCTGTGATCGAATCTTTTATACCCACCACCTTGATCCTAAAAAAAAAAAACAAAGATTTAAATTTTCATAGTGGGAATTGATATGATCTATGTGTTGTACATTGAGAGTAACAACCAAAAAATATAGAAAGCAAAAGTATGTACACTTTTTGTTACATAGGCGTGTGGGCGTGTTGTAAGCATACTCTTTGAGTAGTTGGCATTCTTTTTAAAATCTCTTTCAAGTTTGTCGGCCATATACTTATTTATGCGAACGGAAGTTTGTTTACCACAGATGCTGCCCGGGTGCGGACATAGACAGATGGACAGATGAGCAGAATTTATATACTTTATGGGGTTTTTAGAAGAAGTTTGCTTCGATGTGTTATAAAAATTTTGAAAATAAAAAAAAATGTGAAACACACTATAAAATTCAGTAGACGTGGCTGATTTTTTTTCATTTTTTTAGAGTACTACAGCATCGCCCATAGAATATACGTTAAACGTTTTCTAAATTCATTTGCTTTAGCTTATGAGCGATGGGTAAAAAATCAATTCTTTACTTCCTTTGAAAAACAGGGATGTCTTCAAATTAACGTGGTACATAGTAGACGTGTGGATTTGACCGGTTTGGCCCATGTTCAATACCATCGTGCATACAAGAATTTTCAACGTTTTTGCCAAATTTGAAGTCGATAGCTTCATTATCATTTCTTGGCCAAGACAATGTTTATATTACGACAGACATTAGACGGACATACGTAAAACGATGCAGAACTTCATTCCGCTCAAATTTATACATAGTTTCCCCGATCTCTGAAACTTTTGTTTTCGGCGTTACGCAGGTTTTGACGAAATGAATACACTTCTCATTCTTCGGTGAGGGGGTTATAAAAAAGTAAGTTCAAAATGAAGCTAACTTCATTGTTGTTCTCACTATTGTTTCTTTTTCATTTTCTTCTTCTTCTTCTTGTTCTAATGTGAATTCCTTACGTTTAGAGGAATTTTTTTCTTTAATTTTTTAATGCAAATAAAAATGAAATTAAAAATTTGTCAATCTACTACAATGTAATAATAAAGTTTTTCATAATTTTCTTAGTCATAAGTCTCCCTTGTGACTTGTGTGGCTTTCAGTGTAAAAATGTTGAAAATTGCAAATGATTTGTGCCGCATACAGAAATTAATGTGTTATTGTCTGATTTACATTTGTTTGAAAACCTCTAAGGTGGATTTTATTTATAATATGAAAGCACACATACACATTCATGTAAATAAACGCATGCACACATATATATTCATGTTTACATACATTATCATTTTGATACCCTAGAGTGCAATATAAACTTGTTAGGGATATGTTGAAGAAAATCACAAACATAAACACTTGACAAAATCTATATATGTATATATGTATATATGTATAAATGGCAGCAGCAACACACACACACACACACACACTCACACACAATTCACATATACTATTTACAATGCAAAGACACATAAGACAACACAAGACAAGTAAGATAATAAAGCATAACTATGTTTAAGCAAAGATTGAGCAGAGTAATGAGAAGGAGGCCTTAGAAGAAAGAGAAGAAGACAAAGGAAATGAAGAATAACTAGAAGAAGTTAGCTGAAGAGGAACATAAAGAAAAAGTAGAAGTCGTAAGTCCTTCTAGTTTCGAAAAAATAGGAACTTTCTCACTTTTACTGTAGACAACACGCAAATACATATATTTATATATATATATATATATATATATATAATAATAAGAAGGAGAAAAAAAAAAACTCTCAATAAGCTGAAGTAATTGAATACAAGAAGAAAGAGTGCCATAGAGTGTCACGTGTATATGCGGGTAAGCACTGCTAGGTGTGCGATTTTAAGGTGTAAATGTGTGTATTACGAGGAAGAAGACAAAGACATCTATGTTTTCTCTATAACGTTTCATGTGTTTATAGATATTTATAATATATATACGTAAAGCAGATATGTGTGCATTATGGTAAAACATCTTGTAATTTCAAGGTAAAGCTGAAATGATTATAACTCATCCTGTTCTCGTTATCCTTATATAAAATACATTGGTAAACACGTTGACTGTTATGCATGTTGTTGTCGTTTTGTTGCTGTTGTTGTTATTGTCTCTCTGTATATGTCATTACAACACATTTGAAGAGCTTGATAAACAACAACAGGAAATTTGCCACATAGCTGAGTAGAAATAATGTTATAGATGTACACACGTTTAGTACGTATATGCACAAACGCACAACTGAATATGTACGGTATACACTTTAACGTAGATTTGCGCACAAGTATATAAATGATGTTATTGTTTGTGTTTGTGTTGTTAGTTATTGTTGTTGTTCTTGTTGTTGTTGTTGTTGTTGTTATTGTCATTTAAGGCGGATAGATGAAGAGTTAAAGCAAGCAAATACATTAAGTTATGAATCTTTTTGTTTAACAGTTATCCCTTAACTTTTTAAGTGTTTTCCATGACCATATAACGCAGTATAGCTTAATATATGTATGTATGTATGTATGTATGAATGTATATATGTAAATAAATATATTCAATGGATGAATGTCTACGTATTTATTTATCCTTAAGCGAAAAGGAAATGATGCATTTTGTAAGTTGTTTGGAAAACTTTACTAAGGAAGTCTGTTTAGACTTTGTTTGTTTGCGTATTTGAGTAAGTGATGTTCTTGTCATTCCTGCAATGATTTAAGCTCAACTATTTATTTACAAATTTTGCATGTTTTCATGTTTTCAGGATTTTCGTTTTTGTTCTTGTTTTTGTTTTTGTTTTCTGTCTTTCTATTTGCTTTACGGTAAGACAAGTGTAAATTGTTGAAAATTTTATTTGTTAATTACTTAAAATCT